GGGTATTTTTTCTTTAATTGCTTGAATTATAAGGTTATTTTACCTATATTCTAATAGGCTTCATCGCGCAGTGAATGCTTTTGGACACTCAAGACGTGTTTTTGTTTGGTTTTTGCAAGGACGATGACTCGATAATGTCAGCTCTCCTATAGTCTCTCAGTCCCTCACAGTTACACATACAGCACAATAACAGGGGAATCTTTCAATTCTAATGAAGGAAAAATCCTACCTTTTCTGTTGTCTTCTTTTTAAAGAAATTCAAAAGTTGCGCTTGAACCATTTTTGCACGAAAAATGGCCAATCGGCCAATCGCCGTTATTCGTGAAATATCTTAAGTAGATCATTTTAACATTTAATTTGCATGATAAGTTTTACATAATACACATTATTAATCCAATTGTATATATTCTTCTAAAAGAACATAAAAATAAAAGTTGAAAACAAAAAAAAGGTTCATTTAAAGGGTTTAAACTATAGATCTAACAGTTACAAAGGCTTGTTTGGTCATTTTTTTATTAAAAAAAAATTTTTTTAAATGAATTTTGCTGTTGCATTGAAAATGTAATGTTTGTAGTTTGACATGTTATAAATGCAGATTATATTTTGTTACCCTCAGTATAAAATTTAGTAACTAGTTCCACAGCAATTTCTAGTTATGATGGGTAAGTAATAAATTCTGATTAAAACATTTTAGTTGAATAAACTATACAACTATTTGAGCAAACATACTTTTTAAAGTTCCAGTTTGGGCCAACTAACAAATAACAAATCATGTTTTGTAGAAAGAAATTGGGTGAACATAAAAAAATCTGTTTGAACTATTTACTAAATAATAATTCATTGAGACTGAATTTTTTATACAGTGCAGCGACTCTCTGTGTTTGCCAGACTGGAGAAGACAATAAATGTTGAGGCTCTCAGCAACATTTGTAGGCATTTCTGTGTTGATTTGCTGGCCAAGAATGTCAGGGGAGGATTTAACAATAACACCAACAACTTCTTTAAAAACTTTATTTTCTTTAAGCCCTTATCACACAAAAGCCATGGCATTCTCATATTATCTGGTCATTTATAATACATATTCAATTTATGCAATACTTATAACATTAATTAATTTTATATGCAATTTTCCTTTTTTTCATTAGACAAGTATTTGGAATGGGATGAAGACCATATGCTTTTTTTATTGTGTGTCATAAAATTGCATATAGATCATCTTACCACATAATAAAAATGTACTATAGTAATTAAACATAAAGGGTAAAAGCTCTAAGCTGTTACTTTAAAGTATGCTGACAGTGACATTTAAAATGTAATGCTTGCTTCTTTCATTTGAGCCATTTCCTTAAACTTTCCTGCATCCTGCAGAAGATGCTTGGCTCAAAAGTTTGATCTTTCTGGGATGTATATGCATTCCATTCCTCTGGAAGCACTCCTCCTGTAGAAACCTTACTGATGATCTCTGCCTTCTTCCTGACTTCCATTAAAGACTGAATGCGATCTTGAAATCCTGGCTTGGCCTCTTGTTTCTCAGACTCAATCATCAGATCAATGTAGTCAGGGGTGGAAAGAGGATTGGGCTTGAGAGCAATTTCCTGCAGCCGCTCCAAGGACTTTTGAGATTTTTTAATTAATCCAGCAACAATACCCTGAACAACCTTAAGCTCCTTTTCAAGCTCTTCAAAGATCTTTTCTTTTGACATGACCTGTCCATGTGCAGCCTCAAATCGCTTTTTTAAATCATGATAGGTTTCCTTTCTCTTTTCTGTGACATAATCCCATTTGTATTTTTGATTGAAGTGCACATTCCATGCACACTTTCCTGGACAGATCTTACACTTTCCATCTTTCATCGCACAGCAGTAATATTTATCCTTGTCATCTGAAAAAGCACATGGATAATGACATGTGTAGTGACAAATCTGGCAGTTGGTCAAACATGCATCATGACATGTAAAGTGACAAGTCTGGCAGTTGGTCAAAAAGTTGCCTGTTTTGTTTTCAATCTGTTTTGGGACAGTTACTTGTAGTTCATATTCAAAATCCTTGTTTGCATCCATTTCAGCCTTGTGTTGCTGTAAAGCAGCTCTTGTCTTCTTTATTTCATCCAGTTTTGTCAGACCAGCATTGATCTGGGGCTGGAGGCCTTCCACATGCACTTCTAGATGTTGCCGCTCTTTTAGGACCTCCCGTGTCAGAGACAAGCTCTTGGTTTCCATCTGGTTAAGAGATGTGAAGAATTTTCTCATGCCAGAAAATCCCAAATTCCAGAACATCTGATGAAAGTTATCACAATCAGACTCCTCATCCTCTTCACTTTTATTATTAGAAGCAAACAGAGCAGAGTTGTTGAACTTGAAGTGAAGTGGTTCTCCAGATTCATTTGTAGAACAGGGCACCTGGGAGACTTTGATGGCCTCGAGAACAGGAGGCTTTTTCCCATCTGCAAAGGTGACCATCATAATGATGTTTTCAGCAATATCCTTCCCAAATATGGAAAGAATGGAGTCAAATATGTATTTCTGTGTGTGTGTCAGACGAGCAAGCGAAGCCTGCACTACAAAACACACGGCATCAATGCGGTCGATCCCTCCACGGGCAGAAAAGAAATCCTGAATCTGCTTTGTGATTTTCTGGTCATGTGAAATTCCTCTGGTATCACCGAAGCCTGGTGTGTCCACAATGGTCAGAGAATATGGAACACGGAAACCATCCATGTGATTAATCTGATATGCTGTGATCTGTGATGTCTGACTTTCAGCCTGGGATTTCTGCTTCCCTTCATCTATAAGCACAAACCGGAAGTCGTCTTCCCATTCCACTCCCAGAATGTAGTTGATTATGTTGTTAATTAGAGTGGTTTTTCCTGCACCTGTGGCTCCGATCATCATAATGGTTTTGTTCAGTTTTGTGATGTTTTTCCCAAATGTGCTTCTTCTGCAGAATCCATCACCGTTTTTCCATGTTTCATCCAGCTGGAGTTTAAACATTGGTAGGCTTTCATTGCTTCCATCTTCTAATTTTCTGCTCCAGTTGTTCTTTATAATATGTGCAACACTTAAGCCCTTTTCATTGCTGTGCTCTTTTTCCATGATTTCGCTGCTTTTGTTTTCTCTTGACATTTTCAAATTGACAATCACATCAGACTGACAGGCCTCAGTTGAACCACCTGTGCTGCTTAAAGGGAAAGGAAATAATTGTACAACCAGTTATGAAAACATAATGAATTAATTACTCATTGAAGCCAAACATAAAAGTATATAGTTCACTATGTTATCTTGCTGAAAAAATGCAAACTGGCAACTATATAAACAGTATATTTTAATTAAACATATAATATGCAATATATAAGTAATCTAAAATAAGGCACTGGTGAAATGTATTAGGTTTGGTTAGGTAGTTAAATTTCTAAAGTCAGTCATTGGTGGGGACATTGGTCCTTATTGCCACCATTATTTTACAGTTCTCCTACTGTTATCTACCTTACAGTATGTTACTATAATGCCATGCACTGAATTGCAGTACACTGTAAATCCCAATTTAAGTGAGTAGCTGAATATCACTACATCAATAAATATACATTAGTAAACATGCAGCATATATCTCAAATGATCTTGGCTTCTCACGATTTAACCACAGGCTGTATTCTTCAGCATATTTTTTTTTCCAGAGCATTTGACCTATTCAAGATTTTGATTTATTTTTTTAATGCTTACCTAGTCAACTTAAAAACATTACAACATGATTTAAGTAACATTCTGGTTAAAGAAAGTTATATTCCAAGTGCAGCACATATGAAGTGGTCAATATGGTGTAAAACATAAATGTAAAACATATGACTTGTTAAATATCTTTGCAGAGAAGATGCATGAAATATGAACGAAAAATGTTGTACAAACTTATCTTAAACATATCCTATATGTTCAGAAATAATAAAAAATTTGAAAAATGCTAAATATGTAGACATTCCGTTTTAGAGGTCAACTAAAAAAATCAAGTCAATTCAATTTCAAAATGACTATGTATAACACCAGTAGTAGGTAGGGGTGCTGAAATGAATTGTTTCTACTGTAGGATTTCTAAATATGGACGACACTGATATGCCATTGAATCAAACCATCATGAGGTCTAAACTAATCACCCCATCACATGACTCCAATATTCTGGGTCGACTTCCTGTCAGTCTTGTCGTCATCTACTCAGAGGAGTGATGAAAAACTAATCCAATCAGGAGATAACACAGAGATCTTTTGTATCAGGACTATAACCTATAGATACCTCGTGATGTCTTGTGACCGCCAATGAATGGAACTATTATATCCAACAGGAAAAGGATGAGTAAATTAACTGACGCCCTCAGGCCTGCAAACACGGGATCTATACGTGACCATCACATGACTCTTAACCACAGTGTGACTTTTATGGACCATAGGACTTTCTCTGCCCCC